TTCTATTTTTAGTAGAGACAGGGGTCTCGCTCTGTTGTCCAGGCTGGTCTCGAACTCCTGACCTCGAGCGATCCTCCCGCCTCGGCCTCCCAGAGTGCTGGGATCACAGGCCTCAGCCACTGCGCCCGGCCCTGAATTCGGCATTTAATAAAGCCGTTCCACACAGCGCGCTAACACTCCTCACTGTATTTTCCCGGCCTCGTGTGTTCGCGAACACTCTCTGAGCTCCGTGCAAAGCCAAAGCCCACAGTTTAACTAGATGACGCTGAGCGGAGCCCAGGTCACGCAGAGAACAGGCAGAGAGGGCCGGAGTCCCACCTCGGTTAGAAGCCAGCATCACTCGCATCCAGTAGAACGGTTCGGCCGAGTCTGAAGACATGATACCGAACAGAGGGATCTGGAAGGAAGCGCAGAGGACGGGAGTCAGCGTCGTGCCTGCGGCCCGCTGTCCCCCGACCCGGCACGAAGCGTGACCCTGGGCTCACCTGGCAGCACATGAGGAAGATGAAGAGGGTGATGGCCGTCCACAGGACCTTCTCCCTGAACTGAATCTGGAGGAGTCAAAGTGAATTCAGACGAGTTATTTTCACCAGCAAATTAATACAAATGGATTCCAACCAGCCCCTTTCTCTGTTGGCCGGGGCGTCAGAGAAACCAAGTGCCAGCCGTGACGACTGGAACGCGAGCAGGCGAGCCGCGTGCTTCCTCCGAACATGGGGCGACCCAAAGATCTCCCCAGGCACCAACTCGGTTCCTCCTCACACCTCAGCGCACCGCTCTCTTTCACAGGGAGAAAGGCTGAGCAACTTGAAAGGCTGAGCAGTCTTAGAAGGGCTGAGCAACTTGTCCCCAATCCCACAGCTGAAGTGAGTCGGATCCACAGCAGTGCTCTGAACCACTAGCATTGACTGTTCAGACCCAAGAGCAAACAGTGTCACGACAGAAAATGACTTGTAGGGGCCGGGTGTGGTGGCTCACACCTGTGATCCCAGCACTCTGCCAGGCCGAGGTGGGAGGAGCTTGAGGCCAGGAGTTGGAGACCAGCCTGGACAACATAGCGAGGCCCCATCTCTACCAAAAATAGAAAGAAATTAGCTGGACAGCTAAAAATATATAGAAAAAATTAGCCGGGCGTGGTGGCACATGCCTGTAGTTCTAGCACTCTGAGAGACCGAGGCAGGAGGATCGCTCAAGGTCAGGAGTTCGATACCAGCCTGAGCAAGAGGGAGACCCCATCTCTACTAAAAAGAGAAAGAAATTACTTGGACAGCTAAAAATATACAGAAAAAACTAGCCGGCATGGTGGCTCACGCCTGTAGTCCCAGCTACTCGGGAGGCTGAGGCAGGAGGATCACTAGAGGCCACAAGTTGGAGGCTGCTGTGAGCTGCGCTGACGCCACGGCACTCTAGCCGGGGTGACAGAGTGAGACTCTGTCTACGAAAAAAAAAAAAAAAAAAAGACTTTTAGAACAGACAACACATGAAGAATCACTTTTCATTTGAAAGAATCTGTAAGTAACGAAATCTTGTTATTCTCGAGCCAACTCATTGGGCATTTGCAATTGTTCCACAGTGTATTTTGTGTGAATTAAGGGTCAAATAACGTAACGAGCAATAATACTGAGAGGACAGCGAGAGCTGTGTATTTAACCAACTCACTCCTGGTGACATCTGTTTAAAAATTTGCACATCTTCTCGGGTATGTAATCAGACAGGTGACAAGAATCGTCTTACAGGTGACTATTAAGTATTAGAAAAGCTCATCACAGCAACAACCACAATAAATAAATGGGACCTGACCAAATTAAAAAGCTTCCGCACAGCCAAGGAAACTGTCACAAGAGCAAACAGACAACCTACAGCATGGGAGAAACTTTTCCCATGCTACACATCCGAGAAAGGGCTGATAACTAGAATCTACTTAAAATTCAGGAAAATCAACAAGAAAAAATCAAACGACCCTATCAAAAAGTGGGCAAAGGACATGAACAGGAACTTTTCAAAGGAAGACAGGCTAATGGCCAAAAAACATATGAAAAAA